GAATGAGGGAGAATGGGAAGAAGTGAGGGCAGAGTGTGCAGGGCCTTGTGGACCATGGGGAGGACTTTGGCTCTTGCTCCGAGTGAGGTGGGAGTGGTGCTTGGTTCTGGAGTGACCTGCCTCAAGCGCTCACAGGCGCCCTCTGGCTGCTGCAGAGAGGATAGACAAGGAGAGGGGTCTCTGGATCCTCACACGGACTCTTGAGTTCAGCTCAGACCCTGGGAGACTTGACGCAGCTTTGTGGCTGAGAAGCAAGGGAGCAGATGTGCCCCACCATTCCAGGCTCTCACTTGGGGCTCCTCCTGCCCCTGCATTCTCAGTTTCTGCCTGGCCAGGGACCCTGAGCCCTGCAAGGAATTGGCTAGAGTGGGTTCCAGAAACTCCCTGGCAGCTCATACGGCAGATGGTAGCATGCACAAGAGTCCTCCTACAGGCACAGCAGAGGGACACTGCTCCCATGACCATCTTAGGCTTGACGTCCCCCCACCCTCTCAGCCATGTGGCAATGCATGGTGGTGGGGTCGGGGTGAGAGTGCTTTGTTTTATGCTCAGACAAGCTCAGCTACGTTCGGCAGAGCTTTCTACAGAGCAAACGCAGATCCTTTGCAGACCTGAAGAGATTTGGTCTAGCATGTGCTGCAGCCTGGGGGTAAGCCTGGGCCTGCTGGGCTTCGACCAGCCGGTGACCATGCCTCTCTAAACCTTGCTTTCCTTGCCCCTAAATGAAGGTGGCAGCAGCTATCATCTCATGTGGCCGTTGGTGGAACTTGTGAAAATGCTGCCTGGTGCTGTTCTAGAAGCCCTTGGCAGGACTGGAGCCAGGCTTAGCACATTGTCATTTTTCACCGGTGCTCTGCAGGGCCCTGCAGCTAGTTTTCACATCGCTGTGGAGGTGCACTGCTGTCACCTGCAGCCCCCCAGGAGGGCTGGGCCTTTCTTCAGCACCTTGTCCACAGGTCCCAGCTTCTCTTATGGGTTGCACCACCGACAAACAGGCCCCTCCTCCTTCCTTTCCCGTTACTAGTTGTCCCTTTGAATGGCTTGTTGCACAACTCCCTTCTCGGCCTTTATTATAAAAATGATGCAAAGGGCCCGACTGTGGAAACTCTTCCTCCTCTGTCCCTGGTTCCCATCTCCAGGTTGTAAATGCAATCTCTGCATTTACAAGAGACTAAGAACAGCTGGCAGAAGCATCATCGAGAGCCTTTTATTACTTGGGGCCACCTGGCCTATCACATAGGTTATTCCTGTGACTCAACATTTGGGCATTTTTTGCTTCAACAGATGCTTCTTGAACGCATCGTTGAGTACACATGTGAGGATTTCTGCAGGGGAGACACCTAAAAGCAGGGTCGTTAGGTTGAGGGACACTTAAATTTGAATTGACATCACTGATACAGTTTCCAGAGAGGTGCTATCAGCGCCCATGCCTGCAGGTCTGCAGGTCACGCAACAGGCGCATGCAGTATGTGGCTCACAGGAAGCCAGTGACGGAAAGGCTAACTTTTCTTTCTTTTTTCGCCATTAGTATGATAAATTATTCTCTGTCTCTGTCCCTCTCCCCTCCTCCCTGCACAGCTTGGTCATTAGGCCAGGTGATACGCTGCCTTCTTTACCTGCCAGCTCCATCCTGTGGCTAGAATGCAGATCATTTTAAAGCCCCTGGCAAGTTCTTTTACCGAGGCTGAGAGGATGGGGGCATCTTTCAGACCCGCTGTCCTTCCTCTGCTTTTGTGCTTTGCACTTGGATCTCTCCCCTTCTAGTACTAAAAACAGGAAGACCCATTCCCTAGACATGTGACTGTGGCTGTCCACTTAGAGCTGGCGTGTCCGGCGACTGCTGGTTGTCTAGAAATATCGCACCGGCCCTAGATGTTGCTGTGTTCGTTTGCTCTGGCTGCTTTGACAGAATACCATGAACTGGATGGCTTAAACATTTGAAATGTATTGTCTTACAGTTACAGATGCCAAGATTTTGAGATCAAGGGTCAGCAGGCTTGGTTCCTTCAGGGGGATTTTGGTGGTTTGCTGGCAGTCGTTGCTGTTCTCAGTCTCTGCCTTCGTTTTCACACGGCTCCTCCCTATACACATCCAAATGTCTCCTTTTTCTAAGGACACTAATCGTATTGGCTTCGGGCCCACCATACCACAGTGCGACTTCATCTTAACTAATTACAGCCGCGTTGACTGTTTCTCAGTAAGGTCACAGTCAAAGTGAGGGAGGGTCAGGGTGTCAAATCAATCTGGGGGACACAGTTCAACTCATGACAGTTGGTAAGGGTGCTCTGTAAGGTTGACTTGGACTCCAGTGGCCCTGGGAGACTGTCACTCATGTGTGCTTTATCTTTCCCCTTCTGAGGCTGGTGGCAGATGACCAGAGTTTCCATCCTGGCCCTGGTCCACTCCACTGCTCTCATAGTGCTACTAAGCCTTTCACAATTTTGGCCTTGGGGTTTGGCCTACCATTCATGGTCTCCACTCCATGTGTGGCAGGAACATAGGCATGTGTGTGTCTCTGGAAAGGAAATCCAGTATGCACACCATCTGCTTCATGTGGCAGAGAGCTTCCTGGGATCTGGGGCGCCCTGCCTCGTGCCTCCACCACCGCAAGTGTGGAAGGGGAACCCTCTTCATCAGCGGCCGACCCTGGCCGCCTGGCAGTGCACCAGCATCTCCTGTATTTGCTGGGAAGAGCTGGACTTCTCTCTGCCCGAGCACTTCGGTCCCATGCCGTAGGCCCAGGGGGGAACACTCTGCACAGTACAGACATACCTTGTTTTATTGTGCTTTGCTAAGTATTGCATTTTTTTACAAATTGGAGGTTTATGGCACCCATGTCATGCAAGTCTATCAGCGCTATTTTTCCAACAGGCTTAGATGATGGTTAGCATTTTTAGCGGTAAAGTATTTTTTTAAAAGATTTATTTATTTTTAGAGAGAGGGAAAGAGAGAGAAGAGAGAAGGAGAGAAACACCATTGTGTGGTTGCCTCCTGTGCACCCCACACTGGGTACCCAGCCTGCATCCCAGGCATGTGACCTGACTGGGAATTGAACTGATGACCCTTTGGTTTGCAGGTCAGCGCTCAATCCACTGAGTTACATCAGCCAGGGAACGATAAAGTATTTTTAATTAAGACATGTACGTTGTTTTTTAAAAACAACGCTATTGGGACTCTAAATAGACTGCACTATAGTGTAAAAATATCTGCACGGGGAAAGAAAAAAAATTGTATCACTAGCTTTATTGCAGTATTTGCTTTATTGCAGTGGCCTAGAATCGAATCTGCAATATCTTTGAGGTCTGCCTCTACTTGAATGGACCAAGAATCTGGGGAGCAGAAGTAAGGAAATGATGAAGGCAGACAGTGCAAGGGACTGAGAGGAGCAGTTAGACATGCTAAGGAAAACCAAGACACGAGTAAATCTCTTAGATCTTCACTTCGCTCACATTGTCACAGTACTAGTTCGTTACCCTTAAGAGACACTTTGTAAGGGCTGGGCTGGCTTCTAAGGGGCCACTCATGGTATTATTGTATTTTGTCAATTATGTGAAATCTTGACTCCTCTGAATTCAGGAGTTGTAGGTGAATTACCATGAATTGAGAGCAGTTTTTCTTTTTTTTGTGGGTGTATAGACTAATGGTGCATTTTAGGATCAATGACTTCTTGGCGCTGATGAAATCTAGAAACTTCTGAATCCTTACAATGACCCTATGTGGAGGTTCTAGTACTATCAACCCACTTTGCAGATGAGGAAACTGAGACTCAGGGACAAAGCCATCCATCCAGGGCCTTCAGCCTGTAGTGGTGGCGGGCTCATCCTCACGTGTTGGCAGGTGGTAGGAACCAGCGGAAGCCACCCACATTGTATGGAGGGACTACCTTTTCCCTCCGTGGTGCTGTTGGATCAGGCCAAGCTTCAGGGCAGAGGTGAGGTTGCTGAGCTGGGACCCCTGCACTTCAGTCTTGTCATCTGCAAAGTGGAGTAACGTGTGCCCCCCTTCACATCAGTGAATGATCGCAATGGGCCTATAGAATGTGCCTGGCGTGTAGTGAGTGCTTGCCACCTGCAGCTCCTGAATTTTGATTAATTGTTTGACCTACACATAGATTTTGTGGCTAAAAAATGAAAAGAGGAGACTGAGCTGTTGTTTGACTCAGGACATAACAGTGGAGCTGTGTCAAAACCTCTGCTTGATGTTTGGGTTTTCTTTTTTTCCTCATAGGATGGTCCAGCAGTTTGGGGTGGACTTTGAAAAGAGAATCGAGGGCTCTGGAGACCAGGTGGACACGCTGGAGCTCTCTGGGGGCGCACGAATCAATCGCATCTTCCATGAGCGGTTTCCCTTCGAGCTGGTGAAGGTAGCGTGGCCAGCGCTGAGCCCTCTTGTCCCTGGTCAGACACCCTTCTGCTCGGCTTTGAGCCCAGCCTCCTTCCAGATCTTGAGGTCTTGAACTCCGGCCGTTGGGCCTGGGTCTGACATGGGTAGAGTGTGGCCTGGGGGAGAAATCCCTAGCGGGTCTCCTACCCAGAGCAGGAGGTTTACAGGTTCCTGGGAGAGTTGTATGAAAAGTTTCATTTTTTTCTTCAGACAAAAACCAATACATATTCTTTGCTAGAGATGTAGACAATAATGGGAACCTCACATGTCCTCAGCATGTTGAAGAGGAAAAAAATAAGCAGGTTATGGACCCAGCGTGTAACATGTAGATATTTGAAATATCCTTTCATATGAAATTACACGTGTGTCTAGATGTGTATATTTCTTGCAGTTCTCGGTGCTGGGATTTGAGGGTTTTTAAAAAAAAATTGCTTAAACTTTTTACTTTTTCCTGTGACCACATATTTTTATAAGAACCAGTAAAGTTTTTTCAATTAAAGATCAAAAGCTAAAAGCAGGAAAACTCCCATAATCCTAACGCCCACAGATAACTCCTGTTAGCACTTAGATGTGTGACCTTTCAGAGTTACTTCTATGCAAATAGAAAGCCCCGCCTTGTGCTGGCTTTGGCAGCACAGACTCTACCATTGGGCCTAGGCAGAGAAGGTTAGCATGGCCCCTGCGCAAGAATGCCGTGCTAATTCGTGACTTGTTCCATAAAAAAAACAAAGCCCCCTTTACATATGGAAATGGCACATATATTCATCCAAACTTGTGTGTTTTTTTTTAATGCTGTCTTTATACCCTGCTTTTCTCATTTGGTAGCCATCTTTCAAAACTAGTCATAAACATTTCATGCATTGTCAATGACAAAACAATGTATTTTATGTCTGTCCCGTCATACATTTAAGCAGTCTCCCTTTGTTGGACATTTAGGGTTCCCCCCCACACATTTTTCAGTCATTAAGAATAGTTATGTGTATGTAGCTAATTCTTTAATTCCTCAAGATAAATTTTTAGAGCTTTTAAAACTACCAGGTGATAGTATAGGTATAGGTTCTTGATTTGTACTACAAGTAGCTCATAAAAAAAGTTTATATGAATTCATGTTTTGAAGAGAGCAAGAGTGTTAGTTTCACAGCACCCTTGCTGATACTAGGTCTTAATATTTTTAAAAATTTCAACCAATTTCACATCCTGCCATGTGAATACAAATGCACACAGGAGACGACATTGCCCAAATAAACACCTGTTCTGGAGGTGTCCCAGGTATGTCCTTGCATGTGTTTGTTTTCTCTGTTCTCAGATGGAGTTCGATGAGAAGGACCTAAGACGGGAGATCAGCTACGCCATTAAGAACATTCATGGAGTCAGGCAAGTTCTTCAGGGAGAGCCACCATTGTTCCCTTCACCTTTGTGGTGCCACCCTCCAGACCTCTGACCTCTGGGTGCCCCAACTGTGAGGTCTTGACAGGGTTCCTGGGTGGCTCTCAGCAGCTATTAACTCTCTCCAAGGGCACTCAAGGGTGGATGTGCTCAGTCCTGTATGACTTTGTAATGGGCCACAGGGTTGTCTACTGCCCTTGGATTAAACATTAAATTGCCCAGTCAGTTGGCATGAGCCCTAGTTACTATGGGCATCTAACAAAACTCCCTGCAAATTTGTCCTGGGGGATGGGGGTGGGGAGCCAGACCTGAGTGTGATTATAGGAACCCAGCGTTAATCCCCCTCACAGGTTTCCCATGGGCCTCTGGGTCCCCTTTGTATTCCAACTAAAGTAGCTTCTCCAGTCGTCCAGTCTCACATCACCATGGGGTCCTCTGGTTGCCCCGGGGGGTTCCAGGTAGTGGACACAGGCATCTGACCCCCGACTTGCTGTGACCTTGGTTCTTTCTCGGGAACCCGGCCCATGCCTGTGAGATTGCTGACCATGCTTTGTTTCTCTCTGACTTATCTCCCCTGCCCCCGGGTTTGGATGGTTTTAGGACTGGGCTCTTCACCCCGGACCTGGCATTCGAGGCCATTGTGAAAAAGCAGGTCGTCAAGCTGAAAGAGCCCTGTCTGAAATGTGTCGACCTGGTTATCCAGGAGCTAATCAATACAGTTAGGCAGTGTACCAGTAAGGTATCGGCCCTCGGTGGGGACCCTAGCCGTGGAGATGGGGTCAGGGCTTTGGTATCAGGCTCCCAGTGCTGCTTCAGCCTGTTCCCCATGGTGCCTCCCCCGCCCCCACACTGCCTAGGTTTCCAGCAACATGGCATCTTCCCAGAGGCTGGGGCGGGGGCTTGTCAGCCTGGGTGCAACCGGGGGAGGGGGGTGCCAGGCCTCCAGAACTGGCCAGACTGGTGGGCAGGGCTCCCTGGGACCCTGATACCAAGCCTAGCATGTGTCTGATGGAATTGGGGGTGTCATTGGGCTGTCGCTTTGCTGCCTTCTGGGAAAGAGAGGGACCCCGCATCAGCTGCTGGAGGCCAAGCTCCCTGAACCTACCTGGCTGTCACTCCTTGAGTGATGACCTCGGGCTTCCCTGAGGACATCTCTGTCCCCAAGGTGCTGAGAAAGGCCCAAACACCAGTGCATAATGAGCGCTTGGGTCCCAAAGTCAGTTCGGTTCCATATGCCTCCTCTAGTTCCCTTGCTACTCCCAGGAGCAGTGCTGTTCCCCCAGGTAGCCAGTCCTCAGATCCACGGGGCCACAAGCACCTATGTGTCTGGGCCCTTGGCTCCCCCCAGCAAGATGTGCTGGGCTCCCCCTGCGGGCCCCGTTCCCAGGGCAGCATGCTTTGGCCAAGCAGCTGAGGCGCTTCCTGGTGGGCAGTTTATGCTTGCACGTCCACGATGGCCATAGAGCTCTGGGTCGGCCTTCCTAGGCAGGGGTTTCTGCTTGGGCCTTCTGTTCTCAGTCTGGAAAAGCCCACATTTGCTTCTTAAGCTTCTTCAATAAGAAAAGGGAGGGGAAAGAATCCCAGATGGGCTGGAGATTATCGTCCTGGAGCTCGTTGTCACAGATATGAAAACTCAAAGCGTCCGCACACCCGTAGCCGTCTGCACCATGACACTGACCCTTAGCACTTCTGTAATTAAACCCAGACCAAGCCCACCCCTTGGGCCCAGGGTACTTCTTTGATCTGAAGCAGCTTCCGGGGCAAATGCGGGCACAGGCTCCACCATGCATGTCACTAACCAGCTGACTTCTCGTTTCTCTCTTTCTCTGTCTCCTGTCCCGGGTGTGTGGCCTGCACTGTCCCTGGGTGTCTTTCTACTGGTCCCACCCTCCGCATGACCCAGGACGGGGCTCTTCACCCCTGATATGGCCTTTGAAGCCATTGTGAAAAAACAGATTGTAAAACTCAAAGAGCCGAGTTTGAAGTGTGTTGATCTCGTGGTCTCAGAACTGGCCACGGTCATTAAAAAGTGTGCTGAGAAGGTAACAGAAGGTTTCGTTATTATCACCTATGCATTTGTCCCCCATCTTCTCCCTCTGTTGTTAGTCTTAACCCGTGCATCTGGGAAACTCTGCCTCGGATGGACCCCACCCCCCGACGGTCCAGTTGTCACTTAACAACATCTCAACTTTGCATTTGCAGACAAAATGGGATGAGCTGCATCGCGTGTGTGTTGTGCCTTTGCAGTTTGGGCTACTGAAGGGACTGGGAGACCTCTGGTGTTGCCGAAAGCACTTACTCAGCAGGCATTGGGGATGAGAGTCAGTGCCATTTCTGGGGCCCTTAGAGAAAGGGGGTCTCCATACTGTTACCGAAGCAGTAAAACATTTCAGTGTGCAGACCTTCATGTTCTTATGTGATGGGACATTAGTAGGTTTTCATCAAGAAATTTTGACGGCTTCACTTTCTTCAACTTGTGAACTTAACCCAAACTGCAGAAGGTGGGCTCTTCATGTGTTTGGTTTGGTTACTGCTGCAAGGCTTGGGCTCTGTGGACGGTTAGAGGAGCGGATTCCAAAGATGAGATGATGAGGAACGGTTCTCCACGAGGGGGTCCCTCCGAGACAGGTGGCCCAGATGCCAGCCTACCATCTTAGAACAGTCGCTACATGCTCACCGGCTCAGCGAGAGCACTTGCCCCCGTGACCAGTGGCTTTAATTACACCATTGTCCTTGCTCTCACCCAGTGCTGGGCGGGAGGGGGATGGCTGTCACCCACTTCCTCTGCCACTTTCCACCTCTTAAGTCGCATTCTCGAAAAGCATCTTTGCTTGTGCATGGGCACCCTGTCACTCTCTCTGGACCACTGTCCCTCCACTGTCCCCTTGTCTCCCAGCTGAAACAGCTATGAGACAGGAGTGAGGTGGGGACTCGGTGGGCCTACCCCATGTCACCCACCTTCCCCGATGTGTGGTTCACATTGCTTCCCAAGCCATGGGGACCCAGCCAACGCTGCCACTCTGCTTTCCCTCCAGCTCAGCTCCTACCCCCGGTTGAGAGAGGAGACAGAGCGAATTGTCACCTCTTACATCCGCGAACGGGAGGGGAGAACCAAGGACCAGGTATTGGCTTTTTGTTTTAATTTTCAGGTCTCATTTACTTGTAGTAAATATTGAATGCACAGTCCTTTGACTTTATTGTTATTATTATTACTATTATTATTATTATTATTACTACTACTACTACTTTATTTTGAGAATGTGTTTATTAAAGGTAGCGACGGTGAAACAAGGAAGGGCTTAGGATAGAAGAAGCAGCAGGAGAGCCCAGGTGGGGCTGCTTCGACTCCTTGGGAAGTCAGAGCAAAGGGAGCCTTGAGAACAGGCTCAGGAGACCGGCTGGGACCAGCTGCCAGAAGGAGGGAATGGCGAGGGCTGCCCCTTTGTCTTCAGCTCCTTACTGGCCCCAGAGCCCTGGCAACCACTTGGCTGCTCCCTGTCCTATGGTTTTGCCCTTTTTTTTTCCAGAATGTTCTGTAAATGGTCTCCTGTACTCCATAGCCTTTTTTTCTTTAATTGACTTATTTTAGAGGGAGAGAGGAAGCGGGGGGGAGAGAGAGAGAAATAATGATTTGTTTTTCCACTTATTTATGCAATCATTGGTTGGTTCTTGTATGTGCCCTGACCTGGGATTGAAACCCGCCACCTCGGCCTCTCTGGGTGACTCTCACCAACTGAGCGCCTGGCCAGGGCTGCATAGCTCTTTGATTCTGACATCGCTCTCTCAGCATGATGTATTTAGCGTCCATCCCTGTTGTTTGTGGTGTTTCTGAAGTTTGTTACTTTTGATCGCTGAGTGTGTAGGCTGCAGCTTGTTTATCTGTTTGCCTGCAAGGGGACAGTGGGGTGCTTTTTGTGTTTTAGTTTTCCTGTGAAGACCATCCAAGCGCACACACAGGTAGGGAGTGTGATCCTCCAAGCAATCAAGTGGCAGTCTCACCTGTCCCCTGCTGAGTGCACCCAGGGACTTTATTCTGCCTTTATATAACCCAGCACCTGATTTGAGCCACTTTCCCCCAGTCGTCTGCTATGGTCTCTTGGCAGCTGTTTGTTTAAACCAGAACCGAAAGAAGCCTGTGTGTTGTATTTGGTTGTGATACCACCTGCTTAGAATGGTTCCTCTCCCCTTGACACTGGAGAAGAAACTGACTCATTTGTCCTTCAGTGTTTCCCCCGGTCAACCTGTGCCTTATTTCCTCATTGCTTCTGTAGCCTAGGAGCTGTATCAGAAGTGTGATACAGCTTTTAGAGTGTTGAGAGATTCCAGTTCATTTTGTTG